TCAGCGAGCAGCGAGAACTCATCCGCTGCCGACCGCGTGACCACCCGTCCTTGCCCGTCCGGCGCTGTCCCCCTCCCCCTCCGGCTTCTGGCGGCTGTTCGCGGTTTTGTGGACCTAGGATAGATGGCGCCACTAAAACTCCGTATAATAAAAGTTTTGTGGATGATACCAGGGTGTTGACGCATTTATATATATGTTGGAACGACAAGATTTGTAAAAAGAGTTACCTTTTATCGAGCAGGTATTCGCACAACTTGCTATCTTTCTTACAACGACCCAAGTGACGTCACGCCGCTTGTTTCTCATGGCCGCCGCTCGTGGCTGCAGGTCGGGAAATATTCCAAGTTTTGCCTCGCTATTACGCGGCGGAATCGCAACATTGCGATGAAAGGAGGTGTGTTTTCTGCCATTTGTGACACAGTGAACAATATCAAAAGCAGAAAATGCCAATTCTTTCAACGTTAAAATCGTTGCACAGCTCCTTTAAGGTGTATCCACACGACAAACCGGGCCGCGGACCGCTTGATCACGTTACGCGCGGCCCGCGGCCCGCGGGCCGCCCGGCGGCAATGAGCATCCACACGGTGGACCAAAAGAGCAGACGACGGAGCGAACGGGCTCGAACCCTCGCCTGACAGCTGCGCCAAACGCATGCAGCCAGCTGCTTTGAGGCTATTTGTAAGTGGCCAGGATGGAGGTTGATTGAAAGAGACGTTTGGCCGCAATGGCCCTGGCGTTGACTATTGAGGACGAGACGAGGATTAGACGACGCCGGCCCGCAGATTGAATGTTGGCCCGATACTTGCGATAAGAAGTAAGTGCAGGCCTCAAAAGACTTAAGTTTGAAGGTTGGTAAGCAGGCCCGATGTAAACAGTAAATACAGGGAGGTGTTGATCATTGTTACCAGTGACCATCACTGACTTGCTATGCCTAATTGACTTGGTCCAATTCTGCTTGCGATTTTCAGTATCGACGTCGACCATATCAGCTACGGTTCACGCTTTTGCAGTCCGAGCGGTGTGGCGACTGAAAATTGTGAGCGAAATCTCATCATGCGTATCGGGTTTTAGCGTACATACTGCGGCGTCCACGCGGAATGAATCGCCACATGTCACATTATTCACGCGAAGTTTTGCGGTGTAACGAGCCTCGGTAATTTCGCTGACGCCGCTCAAGTAGTCAGACATCGCCAGGAAGACGTAGAATTAACAATTCGAACGCGAAAAAGAGCAGGGGGACTCACACCGACGCCGACAACATCGCATTTCAATGGTTTGTTTATGGGCGACGGCGAGCTTCTTGCCCACACCCCCATCGCGCATGCGCGGCGCCGGTGGCGTCCGCTAGGGGCGCTCTGGTTTGTTTGTAAACATGAGTTGGTGTATAGGAGTGGGCTGCTGACCTCGTACCACTGTGCCAGGTGGTGCGTCCGTCGCACCCACCGGGTTGGGACGGACCGAAGATGCACATACTTGAAAACTTGCCTGGCCCAGCGCTCTTCGCTCATCCGGCTGAGGCGTCGCTCGAAGTCCAGCTTGGCTCGGGCCTCCCTGGCCTCAAAACCGGACCAGCCCATGTCTCCTTGGACGGCCTCGTTCGGTGCTGTTCGGCTTGCTCCTAGTGCCGACCTTCCACCTCCCTCTGACGGACCTCGAGGTATTGCCTGGTTACCTGTGAGTTGCCGAAAGTGAGCCCCGGCACCGCCACCATCTTCCAGACCGGGTATTGATGTCGCTGGCCTGTAATAAGGCGGAGCCTCCGGGGCAATAACGGGGGCGCGCGTTAACCCATCCGCCGCGCTGCGCTTTACGCCGCTTCGCGGCGACAGTCTGAGGCGGCTCATTACAAAAAATGTGAACCCACATGTGTGTGTGTATTGGCCCACACGTAAACGCCGCTTCGCGGCGCCCAACTATTCGCTAAAGTATCATTCGGTGAACCGCCCCATCAGGAGGCTCCGCCTTATTACAGGCCAGCGACATCAACACCCCAGACCGCTCGGGTTACCTCGTATCGGTTATATCCCCAGAGGGCCCTGGCCGTTGCTATGCCCTTGTTCCTCCTGCCCCTTGACCTTCATCTCGTGCTCTAGGAGGTAGTGGTGTCCCTTCTATAGGTTTACACCCAGATATTTGTAGTGGTCCACCCAAGGTACAGGGTCGCCCTGAATGGACAGGTCGGTGGTCCCGTTGACAGGCACATGTTGCCAACATAGGTCGCGGGGCGCCCAAATCTGGCGCCTTCAATTAGGTCTGGGCGTATCGTTGCAATTTTTAGATAACTGTAATTTCGTTATTCGATTGTAACGCGAGGGTTGATTTTAGGCAGCCATAATCTGGAAAAAAACTTGCGTTACAATCGAGTAAATACGGTAACTAGTTGGACCCTTTTTTGTCCGTATGCAGTCAACTCTTTCTCAGAGTCAAGGAATTCCTGTAGGGTCTCGAACTGTGCAAAGCTTAGAGGTTCAGCGGGTGGCCCATCCACATGGTGCAACATGTCGGGGATCATCATCAGCTGCTCAGATTGGTGTTGTAGAGTTTGTCTCATGATGTGTAAAGACTTAAGTACTTGCATCATAAAGCCTAGAACGAATGCACACAAAGTTGTACGGGGAGGCACTCACTTGATCGAATGACGTTTTAGCGAACGCCCACGTTTGACCGAATGACACTTTAGCGAATAGTCGGACGCCGCGAAGCGGCGTTTTCGGGGGGGCCAAATGGGTTCACATTTTTGTAATGAGCCGCCGCAGACTGTCGCCGCGAAGCGGCGTAAAGCGCAGCGCGGCGGATGGGTTAACGCGCGCCCCCGTTATTCGCTAAAACGACCATTCGCTCAAATGTCGCTGTTCGCTAAAATGTCATTCGCTCATGTGATATGGACCCATATGTTCCTTCAGAAAGGGAGAAACTTTCGTCCCTTAAGCAGGGGAGGAAAAGTTCCTCCGTCGACTGCATCTCATTATGGCGGCCACGAATCGAGCAAATCGAGCTCGGTAAGGCTTAACGAGAACACTAAGTCTATTGCACGAAGCGAGAGGAGCAGGAAATAAAAACGTAACACGAGCTTTCCGCGAACTGTATTTATTTCCGAAGTTTCTTTACCCCTGCAGGTAAAGAAACTTACGTTTCGAAAGCATGCAGTCACTCAGTCTTCTCATCGTCAGCACTGCGATGTTCAACGGAGACAATCGGCACTCAGTTCGCGCACTTTATGTCCTACCTTTGCTATTCCTCGAGCCACAATTCCTTCGTCAACCGTTGCGTCAACCGCACATCACGGAGGAGTGAAAATCATTCGCCCGCAAAACCAAAAGCCGCTCTCAAAAAAAAAAGCAAATCCGAAGCAACCTCTTGGCTTATCTCAGCACGGTAACACGAAATTATGGCGTAGCCGCGTAGCGTAAAAGGATGTTAAATCGCTTGCCACCAGATGGCAGGGTCAAGCAGAGTAATCGCAACTAGCTAGGCTAGGTGGCGCTAGGTACCGCCCAATTCATGTTTTACAAAATAATATTTTTATTTCCTTACGCCACAACATAGAGATCATACATACTAACTCTAGAGGAAAAGGTCCGCCATTTTCCCATACATTCTGGCTGCCGCAAGCGGCGTATCATGCAGGCAGACCCTCGGGGTCCCAAACACGGTTACATCATCAGAGCAGTTTCGTAAACTTCAACAATTCACGAACTTACCGGTGGAAAGATATTCACGTTCCTTTCTAAGCTTTCTCTTTGAAAAGCGCGCAGATGTACGGCCTCGCGTTAACGCTAAACTAAACCATATACCCGGTTTCGCCGGTGGGGCGCGGCTGGGCGCGGTTTAGGAATACGAAACTGCGCAACCACCAGATTTCCGAGATTTCGACAGAAGGGAAGTTAATGCAGCGTAATGAGTTTATTGCTTTTTATAAGCGTTAGAATAGCTCATAATTTAAGGCCCGTTCACACTCTTGCGACCGAGTACGACTGAGAGAGACGAGATCTCTTACAACTTCTTAAATGTTTCTAGAATGAGGGAACACACTGACATTGTGGCACCATCTATGCGGTGACCCTAGAACTGCATTTCACAAAAGCGAAGGTTTTGCGGGATTTCCGAGGTCAAATGTGCGTAATAGCTATGAGAAAGGATCGTTTATAACATTGACAAAAGTTTTTCGAGCCAAAAAAGAAAGGATATTGCGCGAGAAATAAAACAAAAAAAAGGCCGGACCACCGAGTTTACACTGCTTCCCAATAGATGGCGCCAGTGAGTTTTCTGGTTTAAGAAGTTTTAAGGAACCCAGGTTTAAGAGGTCGCAAGCAGTCGCAAGAGTGTGAACGGGCCTTTAGTTTACAACGTTAAATTATCACTGTTTATATTGCTAAGAGTTTTCACTCTTCGCGTTACCATGGCAACGTTGCTTTCTTTCTCTCGTGTTCTGTCGCTCTCTTTTGCGTTTGTTCACTCGGGACCCAGGATGTCGGCGCACGGGATTTGCCACTCCTCCTCATCCACCTTTACCCCCCTGCGCCACAATTGCGTTTCCTTTTCTTCGGAATCTCTAACACATGTAGACACGTTGCGCACACTACATACATCAGGTCAACATATATTGAACGCATAACAGGCATCGCACATACAAACATCAATACAACAGCACACTACCCCGATCACTACTCCCAAGCAACCATGTATGTCCGTCGGACGTCCGAACAAGAGCCGAATATCCATTGCCAGGGAAGGACGTCCGTCGGACGTACACTGGACATCCGTTTCCGTACGTCCAAATTCGGACTAATAGTGGACGTCCTGTGGATATACAGAAATGGATGTCCGAGGGCTGTCCATTTGTGGATGTTCGAACATATCCCAATAGGTGTTGGGAAACCATTCAAAAACAGTTACTTAAAAGTGGTCCCATTCTGCACTAAACGATTATCATAACAGAACCTTTTTGTGCAGAGGATATACCTTTCCCTAATGAAGATAGGTTTGAGGCCCCCCCCCCCCCCCCAAGATTCTTTGACAGATTTGATGGCCCCTTCAAGATTTCCTGAGGTCTTAAGAGGTCCCATCACAGTATTTCCTGAAGTTCCATAGGGGCCCATCACAATTTTCTGCAAAGTCTGATGGGCCCTCTAGGATTTGCTAAGGGTTTGAGGGGCGCAATAGATGCTTTCTGGGGTCTCCAAGATCATTCAATAGGTATGACGGGAAAAAAAAGAGGTGGACACATCGGTAATTCGTTTTTTTTTTTTCAAGTGTTGTCCGAAGGTCCATTAATAGAGGCCTAGAACCTTAGAATTGTAAGCTCCTTTCAAGCTGATACTGTGTGCGGTAAAAAGAAAAACAGTATTGTATGTTCTCGACTACAAGTAATCAAATGAATTGTGATGCATGTGTACTACTTTTTAAAGTAATTTTGCAATCATTTGATTACATTTTACGTAGTGATGTCGCAGTGCCAGTTGGCCTTATGTTTCGTAAGCTAGAAGGAAACAAGGATGTTAGACAGCAAAATAGTTTTTTATTTGCAATCAGAACCAGGGCAGAGGCACCTTTCTCACACTTGAAGGTAGATGCCTACTCTCCCTTAGAAGTGGTGCACCTCTCCTTTGCGCGGCGAAGCCACTCCTTGACTTCCGTTTCCACCTCTTTTTTCGTAGACTCTTTGCAGTGCTTTGTCCGCTTTATAGCAGCTGAAAGCAATAGATGACCCTTATAGTACAACTTAAAAAGGCAGGGAATTGCGTTGCAAACTTCTACTTACCAAAGATCAATTTGTACAGCTTAAGGCTACGGAAAACCTTCTTCCCTTTGCGCCCATCCATGCTGAACTTGGCTGCAGCTTCGTCACTAATCAGGTGTGCAAGCATAGACCTTACAGTTGTTTTGATAGACAGGTCCCCAAGGGAGGTCAGCTCCACAACCTGGAAGGAACGTACAGAGCACGACACAGTTAATACGAACAAGACATAGCCAGTTTTCGCTGTTTTACTCTGACCAGTGAAACGCTATCCCCAAAGCTACTTATATCATGGAAAGGGTTCATCTTGGGGCAATAAACTTGGGTATAAGAAAATGCAATCCTCAATTCACTGTCCATGCAAAATGCCAATGCCGTGTTTGAGCACATAAAACGTGGGGCTGGTGCCTGGGGAACGTAAGACATGACATAAGGAGCATTACGATACCCAGAAAGCAAGTATAGCCAAAAATGTTTGGCATTCAAGGTTAGCTGGATAGAAAGAACCTGAGCATGAATGGGTTTACAGCTTGTATTAACTGGGCTAGGCTTTACAATTAGCCAATTCACACCCCCTCTTTATCTTCGAGGCCAGTATGAGTGAACTGGTGATACCTTGAGAAAGATTGAATGAATGTGAGGGCCCAAATTTTATTTTATTTGGGCAGTTGTTTACACCTCCTAGTCATTGTTCTATCTCATTAGTCATTTCCCATGCTCTAAGATCTGGAACTGTGGGACAGAGTTGCCATTTGAAGAAATACGGAAGTAGTCAGAGCTTGCTCTACACTCATGAAATAATGCTAAAGTATAGCACCATTACAAACACCTTTGTTGCTTACCAGAGAACAGGCAGTCTCACCCCTTCGATGCATCTCGATTTAAAATCACAGCTTGCTCCTAGCTTATTTGTTATCTGCATGTCTTAACCTTAGCTGCACACTAGGGATAAGACATAACAGCAAAGCCTAGAGAATGCAAACACCAATACTTGCCTCAGTAAGTGACAAAAACTAGAGTATGGGCAGGCATTGATAACAGCAATTGCTTACCAAAGCCTCACTCGTGGCATCTGTAAGAGCGCCATCAAACACCTCAATTGCTTCAGGAGTGTCGAGGGGATCAACGAGGATCGGCTGGCTGGGCTCTACAACGAAACTCTCACGCGCTCGTAGCAATGTCGAAATCATGTCCATTATCTCCGTCTGCTGGCTCCTCATGACGCTCATCCCATTCAGCACCCGTCGCTGAAACTCTGCATGCAAAGAAAAGGCTTGAAATAAATATTGGCAAATAAAATTAGTGCAGGCAGGAGACAACATCCTACTTACCAGCAGCACTCAAGATCCTAGCAGTGGCCCGCAGATCAGCTAAAAAGAAAAGAAAAAGATGGCAAAAAGTCAAGAGCTTAGCCATTTCAAAACTATTCAAAGTTGTGCAACCATGCTGTGAAAGAAAAACAATTGAAATCAAATTAGCTTACCGCAGGTCGAAGCACTGGTGCTAGGCGTCATGTGTTGCATAGCCTGCAGTGCTGAAAAAATTTAATGAAGGACACACAAAATATCTTAATACGCAGCTGCAACACAATTCTGCAGTAAAGTACCTTGATCTAATCGACTGGGAGCCGACATCCTTGTCAATGTTTGAGATGCGGTTGAAAAACCACTGGCATCTACGAAGATAAAGACAACTGCAGGCGCTAGATGCAATAAGGGTACAAGGTGACTTGGATTGCTTCTCATATTTATTTATGTTATTTATTTATTTGGTACTTCTGAACTGCCCTTCAAGAGCCCGTGGGCCTACAGGAGGGTGCACCATGCATACATGCAAGAGCTCAAATGACACAGAATACAAAATTAAAAAACATGCCTAAAAAAGTAGGAAAAAAATTTACATATGTAATATCAACAGAATGTGACCTCCGACAGTGGAAAACATACAGCGCAGAAACCTGTTGCCCCCATATCTGTTGTTTAAAAAACAGAAAGGAAAACATACAATCAATGTATACCTTGAGCAGGGCTCGCACGCTAAAACTTCCAGGCAAAAAAATGTCCACCTCTGGAGAGTTCACTTTATTTAATATGCTAAAAGCCTACCGAAAAGTTTCCAGATGTGAAAAAGTCACTTCGTTTTTGGCGGTATGGTGCTTCATACATTTGCTTGCTCAAATTTGATTAAATATAAAACTTCACCCAGAAAGATATGAAAGAGATGGCGATTGTTTTTGCAAGCTTTGCATTTGAATTTGCACTGCTAGTGTGCGTAGCTCTTTATTTGTAAAACGATCATGCACTGTACCTTTATTTCGTGAACTGGGAGCCGGTGTCCTTGTTGACGTTTTAGGTGTCTGGAACGAACCACAGGCACCTGCGAAGATAAAGACAATTGAAGGGGCTACATGCAAGAAGGGTACATGGTGACATGGATTTTTCTCATATTTAGGTTCCTAGATGTGAAGAAAGCCACCTTGTTTTTGGTGGCATGGTGCTCCATATATTTGCTTGCCCAAATTTGATTAAATATAAAACTTCAGCGCTCACACGGAAATGAAATTAAAGTTAATTGGTTCTGCAAGCTTTGCACCTCAACTTGCAGCAATATGTGCATAGCCCCTCATTTGTAAAATGGCCATACATTATAGGTTGTTCGCACATAACGTCAATTTGGCATTTTGTTGTTAGCTTGTTTTTTCACACAAATTTACTACATTGAAGGATTACATCGTAACCGGTTGAGATGATGTCAGCGGTGCTCTACGCATTTGAGGGGGCGTGTCAATCCTTGGAATGCTCGAGTTTGGCACACGCCAGACAGAAAATGGTGGACGAAATTACGTCAGTGAAAACACCCTATAGCTACCTTTATCTTGTGGACTGGGAGCCAGCGTGTTTATCGAAGTGCTAGACGACTGGGACGAACCACTAGCACCTGTTTGGAGATGTCTGATTAAGTTGGGAATTGGTAACATTAGAATACAAAAAGCGAAAAACAATATAAGTGGTTTTCAGGAGAAACTGTACCTCGCATTAGTGCAGCTTGCGACATTTCACTGTGTATTGATCTTGCCGGGCTCGCACTCTGTGGTTCCAGTCTCTGGCTACTGGCTGTGAAAAGCGACCAGAAAACCTCAAATTGTAAGATGAAAAAAGTACAAATTGATCTCCCAAAATATAAAAAATGCAGTTGTGCCCCAACCCCCTATATAAGCACATTGTTTACGTAAAACGACAGATCAAGTACGTCTGACGACACACCCTAGACTTATCAAGTGCCAGGTTCGAATTCTAAGCTAAAGGTTAAGAAACAGTTGCAACGGTCAACAAGGCTGTCAGCTGCAGAACAAAATAAAAATCAAATAGCGTTACGCGAGTTCTGCCGTGCGCAGAGCGGCATCGGGGCTTCCGGGAATTCATCCAAGCTTGAGTCGGACTCGCTCCAGCGTGTGGGGCGAAATCTCCTACGCTTTGGGCGTATCTCCTCGTCCGAGAGATCAGATGTGAACCGCGACCGCTCCAACTTAGATCGCCCTTCTTCGTAGGAATCTGTAGTTACATAAGAAAAAAATACTTACAATTAATGAACACTGCTGCACGCATGAAGAGATGCAATATACTCACTGAATAGTCCTTTCACAGTCACCTCGAACTCAGAAAACCCTGGTCCTGGTGGCCCCCCCTTTCGCACTAGCTTGACAGCCTTATCGGTGGACACCTTCGGCCATAAACAGTTGTTTCCCGTGACCCACGTGCAAGGCACGATCTCCACCTCTTGGGTTAGCCTAAATTCCACAATTGCATACATCCCTGAAAATGAACAGAAAAACTGATGTGAGAAAGTCATCAACACTAACCGGATCTAAAAAGTTATGCAAAAGCTAAACATTTACCTTTAGCTGCTGAAATGGCGGCGGTTTCACGGTACCGTCGCTTTCACCGACAGTAAAACGTAAAACCCGGTCGTGGTAACACCAGAGTCCAAACCACGCGCTCCTAGAGCCGACAATGCACAAATATCGATGGATTTCGTTGGCTATGGATTTTAACGGATATGTTACACTAGCGGCACCTAGAAAAGTTGAAAACTACATGACGTCGGGGTTAAACATCAATAAATAAATAAATTGGTAGCGTTTGTTTTATTCATACATTAGTTTGGTGACTTATCAATTTAAACAAATCTCCACAGACAAATTATAACAGCACAGTCGTACCGTCGGTGTCATCCTTGGTGTTATCCTACGTTGATTTCATGAATTGCAGTTTACACCAACACGCTCGGCAACAAGCAGTAAAATAATTATGCCTAATTTTTAACAACAAACAAGAAAAGTAGCGAGAAGTATATTCTTATTGAATCATATACCGACTAACCACTGATCGGTATAGCCAGCTTCGCGACCTCACCTGTCTCGGCTGGCAACCCGATTTTCGAGTTTTGTTCTTTTTCTTTGTTTCTTCCGTGTCCACGTTGTTGCTGTCGCGTGTCAACGGTTATACAACGGTGTTACTAAAATATTTTTATTTCTGTTTTAAGTAGTATGGTGCGTGTGTGGCAGTACTCACGTTGGACAATGTTCCAGAAGAACTTTTCGTCTAGTTGAACTATATGCTTGAGTTGTCCATTTCGGGTTAGTACTTGCTTTCCATACCACGTCCTTTTTTTCCATCCCCCTCTCTTTTTGTGTTACTCGAAATTCATTCCGTTCGTGTTTTCGTAAGTAGCGTCCTAAAGGACTAGTACAGATGTTGGCTAGCGTTTCACAACTTTCGTTCACCTATAGTTGAACGGCCTACTTGTTTCTATTTTTGGGAAAGTTAGTTTAGTCTCATTCTGAACCGCTTCGTTATTTCGCGCATATCATCCGTACCACGCTTTGTTTTTTCCGTCTTCGCCCGTTCCTGTCTGGCTGGAAGCACATCCAGTCTGCGACTGTGAGCTACAGGTACGTTGACGGTGTACGTGAAAATTGCACGCACTCATGCCTTTGTCAACTTGTTTTCTTAGGTCTGCACGGTGGAGAGGGGCTTCCCCACGCCTGGGTCAAGCACATCCAGTCTGCCGCTGTGAGCTACAGGTACGTTGACAGTGTACGTGACAATTGCCCTCACTTATGCCTTTGTCAACACAGGGGTTTCCCCACGCCTGGGTCAAGCACATCCAGTCTGCCGCTGTGAGCTACAGGTACGTTGAAGGTGTACGTGAAAATTGCCCTCACTTATGCCTTTGTCAACTTGTTTTCTTAAGTCTGCACGGTGGAGAGGGGCTTCCCCACGCCTGGGTCAAGCACATCCAGTCTGCCGCTGTGAGCTACAGGTATGTTGACGGTGTACGTGGAAATTGCCCTCACTTATGCCTTTCTCAACTTGTTTTCTTAGGGCTGCGCGGTGGAGAGGGGTTTCCCCACACCTGGGTCAAGCACATCCAGTCTGCCGCTGTGAGCTACAGGTACGTTGACGGTGTACGTGAAAATCGCCCTCACTTATGCCTTTGTCAACTTGTTTTCTTAGGGCTGCACGGTGGAGAGGGGTTTCCCCACACCTGGGTCAAGCACATCCAGTCTGCCGCTGTGAGCTACAGGTACGTTGACAGTGTATGTGATAATTGCCCTCACTTATGCCTTTGTCAACTTGTTTTCTTACGGCTGCATGGTGCAGAGGGACCTCCCCATGCCTGGATTTTGCACCATATGTTCATAACACACTTAAACTTCCCTTTAGATGACAGGGAATAGCTTTTCCCCGTCATCTACAGGTAGGTTTCAGTGTGTTGTGAATATGCACTCATACCTTCGTCAATTTGTTTGCTTGGCGGGGGAGAGGGGGAGCCGTAGCGGCCTCCCTGCACCGAGGACTAGCACTTCGTCACTCGTCCGGTTAATTTGCGATAGTTACCGGCACTGGTATCTTAAGCTTTTCTCGCTAGGCATGAGATTGCTTTTCCACGACACAGCCAATCTGGTAGATAACATAGGCTAAAAATACTGAAAAAGTCTCTAGGCACAAGTGCCATTCATATAGTCCAATTAATATAATTAAAGCATATTTCTTTCATTTGTTTACAGACGGACACTCCCTCCTAGGTCTGACTAGGACATGGGTCAGACAACAGCAAGACAGCTGCTAAATATATGGCAGAAGAGCTTTCCAGGGCAGAAAGGTATTGCACAGTTGACAAAAAGGGCGACTGTCGAGGAGTGGAGCCACCAGAAGATCTGGAGAAAATGCATACTATTAAAATTATCATCTTATTTCAATATAGATTTGGCTCATGGTCTTTCATTGGCACAGCATGCGGGCTAGGGTACGACATTTTGAACATTCATAGCTGTCCAAGTAAAGGGTAAAGCATAAAGCGCCGTTCACACTCTTGCGACCGAGAGACCAGACCGGTTTTTAAGCCTTTTGCGACTTCTTAGGACCAGATGCGCTGCAGCGGAGCTGGTCCTAAGAGATCGCAAGAGGCTTAAAAACCGGTGTGGTCTCTCTCGGTTTCACTCGGTCGCAAGAGTGTGAACGGGCCTTTAGACGTAATGCCCTAATCCCTAGGGATTTTGAGGCGCGATATTCAAAGTATGTCCGCTGAGGATCCCTGTTCGGATGTCCTCCGGATGTACAAAACTCTTACCTTTGTACGTCCGTCGGACGTCCACGGGACGTCCTTCGGATTTTCGCGGATGGCCCTCGGATGTACGATATATCCGAAAAGGATATCCATCGGATGTCCGATGGATGTCCAGTGGTTGCTTGGGCTACCGAGCCCTGCGTTTCCGTCTTTTATAGTGGTCGTTTTGAACGTATGCAATTTTTCGGTGGCTCCCTAAGCAAAAAAACATATTCCGAACATGTTAATTTTTTTCCAGCAATGTCATACATCTGAGGCTATTTTTAATGGCTCAGGGGATGAATCTCTTATTAAAAAGAAGACGCTCGATCATGCCATAATTATTTGAAAGCCAATAAATCGAACCGCTCCAATGTGGTTCCAAGCCATGAGTTTGTTTTCCCGCATGGCCCTTCGTAGCCAGTATTTATATTGTAGTGTTCGTTTTTCTATTTGTGCTGTTCGCGCAAAGCTGCAATTGCCGTCTTGAATTAATCTCTGTAGAGCGGATATCCACTCAGCTGGAAGTGATGCTTCACGGGCACAGAAATCGCTTTTCGATCAACTTGAATGCAGTCAAAGCCGCGACTTGCGACAACTGTTAAGTGTACGGAGCTGCGCCGTTTCGAGCTCGAAAACTTCTAGCGCTCATCCCGCGCGCCACTTAGAGGGCAGTTTCTACAGGAACCGTAATATATTTAAACAGTAAAATGAAGGATAGCGTTTTTTGTTTTTTTTTCGATTTTGCCTGTCCTTTTTTTTTTATGCTAAACTTCCATTATAAATAAATATACGTACTTTCCGTCATACTTTCGTAGTGTTGTCTTTTCCCCAGAGCGCAATTGCTCTCGGGGACCGAGTCACATTGGCCACTGTACGATAGGAGCTTACCGTTCAGACCAGCGTTCCAACATGACTATCCACACGTCGATCGACTGCACCTAATCCCTCAAGTGGTTTTAAACTCTTTAATGTAAAGCGGAATGTCATCCTGCGACACCCCGGCCCCTCCGATAACGGCCCGACCAGCGGCATCAATGCCCGACAGTTTACGTCAACTCATCTTGTTGTTACACCACTGATACGCGAACACACAGTCACATCGGCGATAATTCCAGTCTTCTGTTCACAACCCCCAACACTGCCATCACGACGTCGCTGACACGAAGAAATACAGAACCACGTTGACGATGTTGCTGACACGCAGAAGAATCACGTTGAACGCCGGTTGGCACTCGGCACGGGACAACGGAACCGAACTCAGCACGGAAGGCACCCAGGCAGCCGGCAGGAAAACCTGCCTTCCTTGGACGCAGTTCCCGCGATTTCCACACGTCGAAAACGTCGAAACAGTTCCTCGCGGTTTCGCTGCTGTAGTTCCGCGTGTGTCTCGCAAATTGGAGACGGCCGTCTTACCCAGTGTATGTAGAGCGCTGCTGGCACTGCTCCGGAACTTCGCTGTTTCTAGCGGCTTCGTTAGCTCGTTTGATAAAATTAGTGGTAAAAACGTCAATGCAACCGAAATGTTCTGCACGTTTGGACTAGAAGACGGAATTACAGGCGGCCTTCGCTGCCGCTGAAGCTCAATCAACTCAACATTAATTTATTAAACAACGTGCGCGATGTGCTCGAAAAACGAAACCGAAAGAAGATGGGTCGGGAGGGCGAAAGCTTTCTCCGGTGTGCCTGGAGGAGGAAAACGTCTCGGAGAATAATAAGGACTTTAATTTTCCTTTCATCGGTCTGAGTTTGTTTATGTGTGTTTTGGTAAACAAAAATAAAAAAAAAAAAAAAAAAAAACTTTACAAAAAAAAAAAAAAAAAACCTTTTTGGGGGATCGAACCGTTGACCACTTGGTCAGTTGCGCGATGTTCTACCCCTGCGCCAACTGAACATTTTTTTTATATCTTTATTACATGGAAGTTATATAACAAAAGACACATTCGTTCGGCAAGACTGCGTACATTTACACAAATAAATAATATATACAAGGCACATTCATCTCGCAATCAAACTTGGCATCTTTTGCATTTGGCAATTTGGTTTGATATTGGTACACGCTACAACCAACAGATAATAGAAAGACACACAAAACTCAAACTATATCAACCCGTAAAGATCTAGAGGATTGACATAAATAATTATTAAGCTTAATAAAGCCCCAAACAAACAAATTTTCAAAAATCTGGCAATCCTATGCATGCATCTAGAAGTGGAAACCAGTCAGGTTGAACGTTTTGCGCTGCATATGCACTGCGTAGTTGAGCCACTTGCTCCACAAAAATAGATTTTGTTGTACGAGGCGGTTCAGCATTTCGATCAATCATTCTACATTTCCATAGACTGTGGAGGCCTAATAGTACAAACAAGTCGTATGGAACTACTTCATCCTTGGAAAATGGAAGAAAGCGGATATTTTGGTCCGTAATGTCGAGGTCCTTTTTTAAAGTTCGTTGTAGCACGTCCCAGAAGAAAAAGGCGTCATTGCAATAAATAAAACAGTGTTCTATAGTTTCGGGCTTATTACATAACCTGCAGTTTACAGACCATGGAACATATATTCCCCTGCTTTGGAGCCAAGTCTTTACCGGCAGCGTTGAAGTATGTAGTTTGAAGAAAAATGACTTGGCTGATGGCGGTACAGACATCTTTGTCACCCTATTAAGGACATCATTTTGAGGATCAATAAAGAAACGGCTTCGATAAAGTGGGACAGGGAATATGCTATCGATTATCGCTCTTGATAGCTGCTTGCGTGTGACATTGAATAAGTACTCTAACGAGAAACGTGCCTTAAGAAAACCCAACGTGTCTACAACCTCCTTTAAGAAGCCCCAAGGTTTCCTGTCAAATGTATCGTCACTAGAAACAATTAAATAATTAAGACTGTTAGCCAGCCGTAGCTGGAGAAAGGTTCTCAGGAAAGGATGCTCAGCATTTTTAAAGAAAAAGAAACGTGACACTAACTGCCGGACAAATAAATGGCACAGATTCAAGCCGCCTGCTTCAAAAGGAAGGAAAAGGTTGTCTCTCTTGAGAGGTTCCCATGATGAACGCCAAATAGAGGTGGCGAATATACGATGAAATTTTTGAAGGTTCGTACGAGCACAATGCATCACCTGCAACACGTACATGAGCCTGGACACAAGAAACACGTTGCACACACTAGCTCTAGTAAACATGGACATGTTGCGTTCTTTCCAAGCGTCAGCTTTTCTTTTCAATGTGGTTGCCATCGATGTCCAATATGATTTACTGCTTCTGATATGTGATAATGGAACTCCTAGATACTGAAGCGAGCCTCGGTCCCAGGCTATACCGGCAAAAGATGAAGGCATAGTAGCCCACGATCCATACCAATACCCGTTACACTTCGCAGGGTTCATGGACGCACCGGTAATATTGCAAAACTTTTCGGTAATGGTCATGGCTTCTTTTACACTTTTCTTATCGGTACAGAAAACAGCCACATCGTCAGCATAGGCGAGAACCTTCACTTCAGCCTTCTTAATCAAAATTCCCCGGATGTTCTGGCTTTCAAGTATGCTCAGGCAAAAGGGCTCTAGGTACAGGGCAAAAAGAAGAGGAGATAGGGGACAGCCCTGTCTAACAGACGATTTAATTGGTATTTTATCAGATAGCATGTTGTTAACTATTAATCTCGTTGAGCTGTTTTCATAACAGAGGTTAACGCCTTCACAAACTGCGGTGCCCACATTAATGTGACGGAGGATTGTAAGCAAAGATGTGTGACTCACGCGATCAAAAGCCTTGGCCAAATCGATTTGAACTAGCGCAACCTGACCATTACTATCTTATGCATATTCAAGGACCGAGCGGGCAACGTGGATATTTGTTTGAATGGATCTACCGCGTATACCGCAGGTTTGATGCTCACCTACAAGGTCTTCGATTACCATCTGAAGTCTTTCATTAATTATTTTAGCGAAGATCTTATAATCTACGTTGCACAGTGAAATCGGCCTGTAATTCTCTACTTTTTTTAGCAGTTCGTTGTCTTTTGTTTTAGGTATTAGAACGGTGTGACAGTCATAAAAGGAAGGTGGGAGCATCTTACAATTGTAAGAGTCGTGGAAAATTTTAAGTAACACTGGGCTTAATTGTTCTTTAAATTTTTTATAAAATTCACCACTGAGACCATCGGGTCCAGGTGTTTTACCTGTCTTAAGTGAGTCGATTGCGGCTTTAACTTCGTCTAATGTTATTGGGCCTTCTACTATCTTTTTGGAGTCGTCGTTAAGAAAAGGCATATTTGATAACAAGTTTTGAACATCAGTGTGACTGCCTGTAGAAATAACCTTGCCAAAGATATTCGAGTAGTGATTATAAAATGCTTTAACAATCAGTGTCGGTTCCTTAAGGGTCACGCCGTTATGGTCAATTTCTAAAATTTCTTTAGACAACGCATATCTTCTTTCGTCATCCAGAGATCGCTTCGTGGGTTGTTCACCAAGCAAAAACTTCTTTGTGCGCGAACGAACAACGGCTCCACGATATTTTTCGGTCTCGAATCCCTGAAGCTGGGCTCTGGTGACATTAATATCATCACTGTACAAACCAAAATTTATGCATTCTAATTCATGAAACATTAAAAGAGTTTTATAAAGTTCGCGACGTTTTTGTTTGTTTTCATAAGATACTGTTGTCGAACGCTCAATTGCCGAATTTTTAACCTCTTGTTTGAAACTATCCCATATGGCGAAAATATGCATATTTTGATTATTAAGGCATTTTTGCAGAATCGTTAAAACTTCCTTGGAAAACTTTTCATCTTTTAGGATACTCACATTTAATTTCCATAGTTCCCATTTAGGTCGAAATAAACGGGGAGCCTTGGCGCCAAAGCGAACAGAAACCATACAGTGGTCGGAAAAGAAAATTGGTTTGACGTTATACCTCGTCATTGAAGTGAATGCTTCTCCCGACACGTATATCCTATCCAGACGAGCGTGTGAAACACCTTGGAAGTGGGTAAAACGTATTGACATATCTTTCCCACATGCCACATCAACAAGGTTGTGCTCCTGAAGCAGGTCTTTGAGAATCGAGGCGCTTCTGTCATAACGCGTCTGAAGTAGTGCTCGGTCTTCTGCATTACAGACACAGTTAAAATCTCCCATAGCACTACCAATTTGTCGTTGTTCAAGAAATTGGCTAGAAATTTAAAGAAAAGGAGCCTTGCATTCACAGTATTATGACCATATACACAAATAATCCTCCATTCACTCTGCCTCAAAGAAAGGTCGCATGAAATGAGACGCCCTTCCTGGTCAATGGATAAGGAAACCGACGGATAGCCAAGCGACTTACGCAGAAACAAAAAACAACCAGCAGAAAGGCCCACTGCCTGACTCACACAGATTTCAAAGTCATCTCGAAAGGGTTCTAGGGCTTCTGCAATGTCCTCATCTGATGATAATTTTGTTTCCTGTACAGCGGCTATATCAACATGCTCGTAATTTAAGAGCCTTTAGAGTTGGCGCTGCTTCCTTTTAGACCTCAGGCCTCTTACATTTAGGGTGATAAAATGTAAAGGAAGGGCGGGGTCTCCCATGAGCCTGCTTTAAGGTGAGTTAAAGTCACCGCTCTGGTTGTTATCGAGCGGTTTATGACTATTTTGTTTGGAATATGGTTTAGGCCTAAAGCCTACCTGTTTTCGGTCCTTTCTAACCCGTACAAACGGCTCGTCATCCACTGGCACAGGGTCATTCTGGTCGCCAAGTTCTGTGGCAACCTCTGGCCTCGATGATACAGCCTCTTTCTCGCTGGCCTTTGGAACGACCTCGGCGGGAGCAGCGATGTCTTCTGCGTCTGATGGTGCGTCCTCCTCGACAATCGTTGCCGTCGATGAGGCGTCATCATCATCACCGTGGTCGCAGGGCGCAGGCGTTAGCTCTGGGAGGATTCCAGAGTCGTTTTCTTTGACACCAGAGGCTGTCTCTGTTGCAGGCGAGTTATCCTTGATGTGTGCCGTGAAGGTTTCGGCAGAGGGAGTGTGGCCTGAAGCGTCAACGACCTCGGAGATGTCCATCAGGAGCTCCGAGTGTTCTTCCACGTCACGGGACACTTTCCCACGAAGCTTGGTCGCGTAAGTCGTAACGCAAGCGTCAGCGATGTGTCCGTAAGTGCCACATTTGAAGCAGCGCGGTGTCCTGCACTGCCGTCGAATGTGTCCGACCCGGTTGCACCTGAGGCACAAAGGAGGCCTTCCCGGGATGATGACGAGCGTTTGTATTCCGTACACCTGTAGCAGGTGAGGAATCTTCTCCGTCGCCGTTCCTTCATGTAGGGTGATGTCTACTTCCCTGTTTAGGGTGTCCATGTGCTCCATTTCCGGACAGCGCCACTTCTCTCGATGAACGCTACGCACTATGCCGTATGGTGTCAGGGCTTCGACAATGCGTCTATCCTCGAGATGGTCCGGAAGCCACAGGAGCTTCATCTTGAGATCCCGAGTGTTTGGGTCGATCACCAGGCACTTCTTGCCTTTGACGAGCAGCTCACCACGAAGGCAAAGCTTTTCTTTGGCGAGAGCGTTGACGCAGGTGACCATCCATACATGGCCCATTTGGAATTGTCCGGTGGCTTTTATGTCTTTTAGGTCTATTACTTCCTTGAGAGCATCTCGAAAGTCCGGTGCCGTATAAGGCCTGGAGGACATGTCGGCGTGGAGAAATACAGAATTGAGGACGATGTTTCCGGTTGGCAGACGAGGGAGGGTGATCCTGTACTCACTTGAGGTGACATTAGACGATTCAATAATACCTCGGCCAGAGGCCGATGCGGTGTTTCCACCAGAACTCATTATTTCGCAGCCGTTCCAGACGGCCTCTTCTTCTTTCTCCCCGCCAACTGAACAAGGAGGAACTCGCCCTCCTCCTTTCATCTGAACTGCCGTTCCTCCCTTCTCTGGGCAACTTGTCCGCAACAAGGAGGGACAGTCGCTTTTGCTACCTTTCTCCTCCCTTTTTTCTTAGAGTGCGGGTGCGGCGTATCCGTGGTCGTGTGGTTGTGAGCAGACGTGTACACGTTACTGAAAATTAGTAAGGAATTACATTTACAATTACTCAAGGCTAAATTGTAATTTATTACAATTACAATTACCCTCCCAAAAAAGTAAGTGACCGTTACCCCAAAAAGTAATCCGTTACTTTCGTGGCGTTAGTTTCAACAATATTGTCTTCAGTTAAGAAACAGGTGGGAGCCGGTTATTCAAGTTCTTATTGTTGTAACCTGTTCCATTTAATGACCCTGAGTATTTTGAGCAACAGCTGACTCTCGAAGTCTCGTCAGACATTTTGCAATATTTTTTACTCAATATGTAAACTGCTACGCTGAGCACCCTTTGAACTGAGGCAACAGCTGGATGGGAGTGCCCTATTGTTCCTCACGAATGTTTTATGTTCTGCATTGGGCTTCTGCAGCGAAGCAATGAAAGTACTATTTACCTCGAAGATAGAGCAAAGCTTCGTCGCTGTAGCCAGCGCCTGATATTCGAGAGTTTAAGAAGGTCGCTCCGATACCTCCAATACCAATATGATGAATGCGAAAAGGCGGCGGCGGATTATCGGGTATCCTTCTCGGAGTCATCGGACCGATCTACTAAAATTTTCTATTGTCTAATGCCACAACACGAGACAAGCGAAGCAGTAGAAGTCATCATACACCTAGCCAAAACTAGAGTGCCTTCATGGGCGCTTCGCATAGAGTGATGCCAACTGCCTGTTTCCCTTTCCCACACCCTCTTCCACCGCCATTTTGTTCCTCTCATTGTTTCCCCGTGCGCCGGAAAGTGGCCTTTGTGTCCATCGGTAATCCCATCCTAGGGCGAAAATGCTAATCCTCCCTCCGTGGGTTCCACAACGCTGCTCCGAACTTCTGAGATAAGGTGCTCGTTTCCGGGAGGGTTATAAGCCCCACGGATTATCGCCGAGGAACAAAATGGCTGCTGGTTTGTCGGCGAGTGGTATTACAAAGGGTGGCATCACCCTAGCAAAGCGCACATGAAGGCTCCCTAGCCAAAACCAGGATAAGAAATGATTTGTGTCCATCTTACTACACCGGCTCATATTGCCAGGATATAGCAAAACATACTTGTAACAGTAAGGTGATAATTGAATAATAAATAAGGTTTGGCTCGATGTTCTTCTTCCTTTGGTTCTGAACATGTCAAGCCTCGGTTTAGACGTTGGTGAATAAAAAAAAAAGTTTCCAGTGTATAAATATAAGTAATCGAAAAAAAAGTAACTTATAACAACAATTATTAGAACGCCGATTAAAACAAGGAAATGTAAACGTACGTTTGCCGTGCGTACCTTTTTAGATGCCGTTCAAAAACGCACGGAGCACGAACAGACTGCAGTTTACTTCGGTGTTCTCCAGATAGACGTCTGCTGATGCCACAGCTAGGCAACAAAGGGCAGAGTACTGTGACCCGCACTCACGAGTTTCCCTCTCCCTCAAGCCCAGAATATCAAGTCTACGTTAGACGCCAATATGTTTAATTTGTAGAAATATATGCGTGAGATAAGCTGCGTCCTGCTGCGATAAAAACAGGAAGAAGAACGCTGACTCACAAAAAGTGCGACTGAGAGGAAGATAACCTGGGTGGAATTCACAAATAAAGTGGGCCAACCCTAGAAGTTGGACTACAAAAAAGTAAGTAGCTTTTAAAACAGGGTCAAATAAGGTGAAAGAAACAGAAAAAAATACATCCTGTTTTCTAAGAGAAGATGATAAGTGTGCAACAACGAACGAGGATGCTTGCGGCAATAACACCTTCAGATATTATCACATCTCTTTTAGCGGATTTTAGGGTAGACGGAGCGTTGTCTCGTGTTGTGGCATTATGAAAATGGTCGTAGTCACTATAACCGAGAAGGACATTGTTAGTTATTTGAACATGCTTGTAAACCTGAGACTGGGACAGAAAAGAGAACACAACAGAAGGTAGTAAAAGAGCTGCCTCCTCTTTTACTACCTTCTGTCGTGTTCTCTTCCTGCCGCAGTCTCAGGTTTACAATCATGTTCAACTTACACCAGCTCGCCTGCACTCTGACTATTTTTTTGTTAGTTATTGTCTGTGCACTTAACTCCTCGAGCTTCTCGAAGAGGCGCACAATCACTTGCTCTCCTCGGCTCCCCGTCTTCGATCGCAAAGAAAAAACAAAGGGACTAAAAAAGCGGATATACACCGACACGCGGGCTTGACGTCACGGAGCTGCGGCGGCGCTGCAATCGCGCCGGAGCCGGGGGGTGTGGGCAAAAGCGCGCACGTTTCGCATGGGCGTCATAGCATTTCAGCTTGCCGCGAAGCTGTGTTGCCGTTAATCTCGCCGAAATGTTCAAGAAAAGCTGCGGAGCGAGTTTCCACAAGTTCCCGGCAGACTCTGAAAGGCATAGAAGGTGAATAATATCCGTGGATCGAAAAGAATGGTCGCCTCGCGCGAACGACCGTTTGTGCGGCAAGCACTTTCTTGGAGGCAAGTGCGGCTTCCATATCAATCTCCGTCCCGAGGCTTGCATATGTGCAAGGAAATCGTTGTCTGATCGAGACCACCCGGATTTTGTTTCCACGGTGTTCGCGCACAACGCACCCGGGCACCCCACAAGCGCTCGTCGGAGGCTCGCTACGCCCGTGCTACCGAGCAGGAGGGGATCGACGACAGAACGGCAGTATTGTAGGCGTTACCAAAAAAAAAAAAAAAAAAAAAAACAAGTAACGAAATACGTTACTCGTTACTTGCAAATAAAAGGTACGCGTTACTGAGCTACGTTATCTAAAAATAAAAGGACGCGTTGCCGCTACCGATAAAAAGTAAGGCACGCTACTTCTGCGTTACCTTTTTAAATTATGATTTAACACATTTTACGGTTTTGACGATACAGGTCATAGATCAAGAAACATTATGTTCATGCAGAAACTGAACACAATTACTTTATCCCTTTTCACGGTTTCGCCTAAATGCTTACGAGAAAAAATGCAAAGAAAAACATGGCTTGACGCCTAAGACACGGAAACAATTGAAGTGTAATTTCTTTGAGACTTGGGAAGTAGTAACGACTAACGTAACTAGTACGTTACCCGTTACTGTGTCGAAAACGTAACGAGTAGGTTACTACGTTACTAAAAAAAGTAACGCGTTCCTGGTAACGCCGTTACTTGTAACCTGTTACCGCCAAGACTGCAGAACGGACAAACCTTTACTGATCGTAATGCCTTGTGGTCATGAGGGTATAAAAAATATCATACCTTGACTTGAAGACGCTTTGTGTGTTTAATCAATTAATGAATACACACATTTCCGCAGACCCACAGTTTGCTGATCCCGCCGGCAGTGCGGAAACCGACTCGATGTAATCGTAGACCTCGAGAGACTTGTACGCCTGCACCGTGTCGGCCGTGAACTGGCTTGGCGAAAAAACTAAATAAACGACGACCTGAGCCGTCGACTTCCGTGGCAGCAACTTTACGTCGGAAGTCCAGCAAACCTTGTTTACGGCGTACGGATCCTCGTAGGCAACGCCGTCCACGCACAGTTTGTTTCGATACCGCTACCGTTCAGGCTCGGGCAACGAGCTCAAATACTCGGGCATAGCATACGACATACATTATGAGGAAATACGACGCACAAATAAAGACACAAGCGTCCCTACAACGTCAACAACGAGCGCACGCGTCATAGAGCGCAATGCCGAAAACACGGACAGCCGGGCTGCTTTTGCCCACATAGCTACCGCGCATGCGCGGCCTTCCGGCCGTGTTGGTAAACAGAGCCGCTCCGCGTGTCGGTCTATAACTTGGCCCCACCCCCCCCCCCCTTTTTTTTTCTTTTTTTGTAGAAATGCTTTTTTTGGTCTTTTTGACATTGTTTTTAGGGTCTAAAAAAATGAATTCAGGGGCTTGGCGTTGCAGAAAAAGGCTTTGCGAAACTGAAGAGTGCCAAGCCTCCCTTTGCGCAAGTCAATTCGCGTGACAGTGTCACTGCGCCTCGACTTTACCAAAAAAAAGAACAAAAAAAAACTTTAGAAGTGGGGTGGGGGGGGGGGGGGGTTGGTCCTGTAAACAAATGTAACGGATTACAAGGAATCCGTTACGTAAACAATGTAAAGGAATTACTTTAAAATTACTCTAGAAAATATGTAATTATTCCGTTACTAAATTACTCATAAATGTAAAGGATTACAAGTAATTTCGTTACTTGTAACGGATTACGTACAAGTCTGGTTGTGAGGATGTGGGTGCTCCCCCTCGCTCGCGGAAAGAAACGAGCGCCGCGCGAGCGAGTTGATGCACCTTTTCGTTGCCGGGGATCCCTGCATGGCCCGGTATCCAACCTATCTTGATGGTGGTGCCAAGTTGACGTAGTTCGGCTGCCATCTTCTTAATTTCCTTGACCTTCCTGCTTGCGCTGGAGGCTTTCTTACACTCTCGTACCGCCTCCTTGGAGTCTGTGAAGAGCCTGAGCTCCCTCGGGCGTAGGTCTTGCCGTTGATGCGCGAAGAGGTTCAAAGCCAGGAGGATGGCTTCGAGCTCTCCTCCCTTAATAGTGGTTTTTGCGGGTAGTTGGCAGCATTCCGTGACCTCCACAGCGGGGGGCGAGAAACGCCGCTGCCCCAGCGGGCGTCGGCGTGTCGTCTCTTGCGTGGTCTGTGTATACTGCCAGGATCTCGCTCGGGTCGGTCCAGTGCTCCACCATCTTCCGGTGTGCCTTGGCGATCCGCTCGTTCCTTTTTTCGTCCCCTTTCTTGTCTCTAAGAGGCCTCCTTTCGGTGATGTCTGCCATGTCTTCCCATGGCGGAAGCCATTCTGGC